ATTCATTCATTCATTCATTCAAACAGTCGGTCGTTCATTCATTTTCTCATTCAATTAGTCAGTCAGTCAATCGTTCATTCATTCATTCAGCGTTTTCCATCCATCTATCATCAGATTTGGATTAAACAACAATGGAAAAGTATATAGCTAAGAAATATTATTACTGTTACAAGAGTTAATGTTACATCATTACTCACGTGTGTATGTGTGTTGCAGTGTGTGCGTGTGTACGTACGTGTGTGTGTGTGTGTGTGTGTGTGTGCATGTGTGTGTGTTTGTCTTTGTTTTTTCAAAAAAATTTTTTAATGGTCGTAAAAAAATATTCTTTGATGGAAGTTATTTAGGCAATCAATCAACTGATAAACTCTCTTCTTTTTTTTATCTACTGAATTATTATTTATTCATTCAAGCAGTAATTTTTTCATTCAATCATTCAATTACTCGTTTATTTGTCCATTCATTCATTCAGTCAATCATTCATTCATTCACAATCACATATTCAACCAGTCATTTAATAATTTTATCAATTCTGGTCTATGTAATGTAGTCCACTTTTTGTTTATTTCTTTCTTCATTCATTCATTCATTCATTCATTCATTCATTCATTCATTCATTAATTCATTCATTCATTCATTCACTTACTCACTCACTCACTCACTCATTCATTCATTCATTCACTCATTCACTCATTCATTCATTCATTTTTTCCGTCAGTCGATCAACTCATATTTATATACTCATTCATCCGTGTACGCTCCTCCATCCATCAATCAATCAATCAATCCATCCATCATGGAAAATGAATCAAATTTCACGTTGTTGATATGAATAAACAACAAAAATATCAACCATAATAACAAAGTTCGTTTCATTCATTTATTCATTTATTCACTCATCATTCATTCATTCGTTCGTTCGTTCGTTCATTCATTCATTCATTCATTCATTCATTCATTCATTTATTCACTAGATAACCAATTAATTAAATACCAATGCCTTCCTGTGAATGACGTTTGTAAGTTCCATGGGCAAGAATTGAAAATTAGTTAATATTATAATTAAATTAATAATAATACACATTTAATTTACTTATTTTTTTATGTAAAAAGTAAAATTAGATTACGAAGAAATTGTGGGGAAAGATAAAAAATGAATTAGATAAAAAATGATATAACGCTTGATATATTTATTCCGCCACTTCATTCTTTAGCACGTGATTTATATCTGACTGCTAAACAATAATAACATTCATTCGTTTTCTAGCATCACTCATTCATTCATTCACTCATTTGTTCATTCATTCGTTTGTCTGTGGTTCGTTCGTTCATTCATTCGTTTGTCTGTAGTTCATTCGTTCATTCATTCGTTCGTTCGCTCGTTCGTTCGTTTGTTCATTCGTTCAATGAATATTTGATAGGATTGCTAACAAAACATCGAAAATTATAAATGCAAATCTGTATTTTATTCCTTTTTCTTTTTTTCTCTCTCTCCCTCTTTTCTCTCTCTCTCTCTCTCTTTCTCTCTTTAATCAAATAAAAGAATGAAACAATTATACATATAGACAGATAAGCTGTTTAATCAATCACTCAATCAATCAAAGAGACATCCTATCTGAAGAAATGAATTAATTAATTTACCTATAAACACACACGCTCACACACACGCACATACATACATAAATACATACATTCATACATACATACATACATACATACATACATACATACATACATACATACATACATACAACATACATACATACATACATACATACATACATGAGCGACGTGAGCGAATAGCGAGATATCAATTGTTAACCGATTTTTTCAGATGTTTGACTGTTTAGTGTCACTCATCGCTGATTTGGTTTTAACATACATACATACAACATACATACATACATACATACATACATACATACATACAATTAACGAACTCAGCTATGTTAGCAAAACAGGTGTTAGTTGTTAGTTCGATGGTTCACGGTTTATATATAACAATGTTTGGTATCTATCTAGAAAAACACGGGATAGACATTACATAGTTATCTATATATTTAAGCAACATATAGAACGACATGAATAGTAGATCTCACAGTAAATAAATATATAAAAAAACTATATACTGATGTCTGTGGATTTTTTCAAGTGAGTAAATTAGATGCGACTTTTCCAATGAGATCAATCAATAAAGCAATCAACCAATTCCTCAATCAAGAAATCAATATAATAATTAGAAATTTAAAGCGATAGACAATAAAATAAATAAAAATTATGCAAATACATCCGCTCGTTTAGCGATCAGCAACAGTTAACATTCAACGTCATTATTCAACAAATAAATTTTCAATTTATTTTTAAAATTTGCTTCATTAATTTTATTGAACGGAAAACCATGTTTTAAAATAGCATTCCAATTTCTTGGCCCTTTACAAATGATATGAGAAAAAGGTATGAATGTTTTTGATTTATTTGCTAATATATTCTATTGACGTCTGAAATTATTTATCCGAATAAAATAATTATTGAAAATAGGAGGATGTATGTTTGAAAGTTGTTTATATACAAAATTGGCTGTAAAATATAAATTTAACTTATCAAAATCTAAATTATTAGTTAATTTGAACAGTTGAGGTGTGTGAGCATCTTTTCGAGAAAGCGTGATGATCCTCATTGCTCTTTTCATCAGAACTTTTACAGACATGGTAGTTGATGGGTGAGCACTGGCCCAAATGACGTTGCAGTATGATACATGGGGCAGACAGATGGCGTTATAATACATACATACATACATACATACATACATACATACATACATACATACATACATACATACATACATACATACATACATACATACATACATACATACATACATACATACATACATACATACATACATACATACATACATATATACATACATACATACATACATACATACATACATACATACATACATACATACATACATAAATGAAACAATACATACATGCATTTGACTGATGACATGCAATCATTTGACTGGGGCAGAAATTTTTCTTATTCTTATGCTCACTTTCCTCTTTCTTTCTTTTTTTCTTTCTTATCTCTCACTCATTCACTCACTCTATCCTTCTCTTGTTTTTCTTTTTCTCTCTTTCTCTCTCCCTCTCTCAATGACGATGATGATGATAACAATGTAAAAAATGCTATTGATGATGAAAACACCGACGACGACGATAATGATGATGATGAAAGTGATGATAATGATGATGATGATGATGATGATGTTGATTTTAGCAATGATGCCTTTTACGTGTGTGTGTGTGGGTGGGCATGGTGTGAACCCAGCGTTTTTTGGCATACATGTCTGTAGCAAAAGATTAATTACATCAATTAATGTTACGTCCCTATGACGTCATAATACACACACACACACACACATATATATACACACACATACACACACACATACATACATACATACACACATAAGCATGGTTTTGGTATTTCGTCTGTGTATTTATACCGATTTGTATGTTGTTGGGGTTAGCGTTGAAGTTGAGAGGCATGTATTCTCTGTGATGAAATGTATTGCCTGGTATCTTTTATTCGGAATTAAGATTTATGTTTGGTTTTTAGATACAATGTTTTGTATGTGTGCGTGTGAGTTTGTATGTGTGTGTTTGTATGTTTGTTTGTATGTATACTTGTTTATAAGTGTGTGTGTTTGTATGTATGTTTGTTTGTACGTATGTTTGTTTGTATGTGTGTGAGTTTGTATGTATGTTTGTTTGTATGTGTGTGTTTGTATGTATATTTGTTTGTTTCTACTTTTGTAAATAGGCTTTTACTTTTAGTTTTTTAACTGCTTTTTTATTTGCTGCCTTTATCGACGTCATCATCATCATCGTCACAGTCATCATCATTATCAGGACCAACAACAACATCATCACAATCATAATCATAATCGACAACAACAACAACAACGTACGTCAAGCAGAGCATGCTGTCTTTAATAAAATGAACAACGCCATGACGATTCTATTCTATGTTTGTTTGTTTATTTGTATGTTTGTTTGTATGTATGTATGTAGGTATGTTTGTATGTATGTTTGTATGTATGTAATAAATTTATATTTAAACATAACGCTTATGATTCCAAACATAAAACTCAGTTCATTGTTTATTACGGTCGCGTTTAACTTACATACATACAAACAAACATACATACATACAGACCTACAAACAAACATACATACATACAAACATACATACAAACATACGCACATACATACATACATACAAACATAAATACAATAATGACATTTAAAGCCACATCATGTTAAGAATTTTATTCTGTCAAAATTATGGCTATTATAATAACATATATACAATATGTGTGTGTGTGCGCGCGCGTGTGTGTGTGTGTGTATGTGTGTATATTCATATAGTATTGTATGGTCTCCTAGCCACATATACATATAAGTTTACACACGAATTATATACATAACTACATACTCTTAAACACGTACACATGCATACATACACACACACACACATACACACATTCATACATGTTTTCGGTCACTCCTTTATTGCCTCATTTATTTTTCTTCCATCAATCTATTGCCTTCTTTCTTCTAACAACTAAAAGACTAATTAAACATTTTGAAGCGCGCAATTTTGAACGTCAGCTTCCGGTTTATTAATATCAGTCTTTTGTTTTTGCTCGTGACGTATGCGTGTGTGTGTGTATGCTTGTGTGCGTGTATGTGTTTATGTGTGCGTATGTATGTGTGTTACAATATGTATGTGTGTATATTATGTGTGTGTGTGTGTATTTTTTCAGTTTTGTCACACGCAATTTATTACTATCCTATTCATAATTAACTTTCCTCTTCGTCATCATTTCGTCATCATTATTTCGTGACGTCACAGCTCGCCATCTCTGTCATTCCATCATCACAACTACTACCATCATCATGATCATTATCATCATCGTCGTCGTCATCACCATGAATGACGTCACAATAATAAATCAACCAGTTCCTCCAAAACTGACGAAAGTTCCTTCAACGTTTATGACCGCCATGTTGGGACACACAGCGGAAATGGAATGCCATGCTTCCGGAAGTCCTCAGCCGGAAATCACGTGGTTCAAAAACGGAAAGAGATTGCGTTTTGTGACGCTTGATGAACCGCAATTAGACGATGCAAAAATAAACAGCAATGAACATACAAACTATAGAACAAACAACTTTAAAAACTCAAAGACAAACAAAGAACAAACAAATGTTAACAAAACTAGCAACATCAGTAAAAATTATGATAACATTAATCATCAAAGACATTACCATTACCAACAAAGTAAACTGAACAGCAACAACAACAACAACAACAACAGCAGCAGCAGCAACAACAACAGCAACAACCACATTGAACACCCCATTAACACTACCAACCAACTTAAAAACAAAAACACTGCTAGTAGCAACAACAACAACCACAACAGCTACAATGACGTCATCATCGACCACCACCACAACAACAACAACCACAACTACGACGATTACGACGACGACAACGACATCAACAAAATCCTCCGATTCGATTACAACATTCAGATTTTGAACTTAAATCTAAACGACTCCGGCTTATATATGTGTCAGTTGAACAACAGCGCTGGTACGATCCGACATTTCATCCGACTACTTGTTAAAGGTTAGATTCGGTACCGGTAAAGTTTAGTTTCGGTGCCGGTAAAGTCGAGTTTCGGTATCGGTAAAGTTTATAGTTTCTGTATCGGTAAAGTTTAGTTTCGTTAATTTTTCATCCAGTAATTCGGAAAGTTTTTGCTATGTAAATGTACGAGTTAGTATACTGATTAACATTCGTCAACTTTTCTGTTTAAAACAGTCGCCTATCATTATTTAATTTATTTATTTATTAATATTTAATAATTTTAAATAAATTTTTTAATAATAGCGATAACAAAAAAACATTTTTTCAATCAAATTTCAGATGAAAGCTTGAAGTATCCAGGTCAGAAAATGAAGATGACAGTTCGATTACTCTTGCAATTCTAATTTTGAAAAAGCAACAAAACCACAGCATACGATTATAAACAATTAATATTATGAATTAAAAATCAATAATATAATTAATATTTTTCAAATAAAAATCTAATTAATACGTTTTAATTAGTAATATAATTGATATAAATTGCAAGAATCACGCCGATACAATCAACATTTTTCAAGAAAACCCACATGACCTCAAATTCAAAATGACTGACCAAGCGACTTTTTTTTCAAAAATTTCAACAGGAAACGTATACATAACCGTGGCCCCTAGCAACCTGACGGCAATGGAGAGGTCAAAGGTCAAGTTAATGTGTCGGGCCGAGGGTGAAAGTAGCGCCAACTTGACCTACACGTGGTTTAAAAACGGCATTAACGTCTGGAAGTTGCCTTTATTTTCCAGTCGGTAGGTTGCAGGCGTGTCTCGAAATTACCTCAAGTTTTATATGATCGCTCGCGAATTGTTGAGAATTTTGTCTGTCTGTCTGTCTTGTGTGTGTGCGTGCATGTGTGTGTGTGTGTGTGTGTGTGTCTGTGTGACTGCTCGATGCACACTTGATAAAAAGTTAGAGGTCATTATAGATGTGTGTATGTGTCTGTATGTGATTTTTGTATTGTGTGTACATGGCGGGCTTAGCTGTATGTGCAGTACATGTAAAAGTATTTTGTGCGTGCTTTGGTGTGTGTTTGTTTGAGAATGTTTGTGTATATTATGTATGTGTGAGGTGAGTGTGTTATTTTGTGTGTGTGCGCGTGTGTGCGCGTATGTTCGGTTGTGTGCGTGTGAATACTTCACGCAGGCACGTATGATTATTTTTTTGCTTCAAGAATATCACTAAAAAGTTCGCCCATTCCTATAATTGCGCTCCTTGAAACTCTCAAAAGCGCCATTCAAACAACAAATAGGGAAAAATTTTCGCAAACGGGAATAAGAATATTGTGCTCGTTTGTTTGTTTGCACGTGTGTATGTGTGTACGCACGTACGTGTGTATGTGTGTACGTACGTGTGGGCAAGTCAATTTGTGTGTGGGCGGGGTACGTACAATGATATGTTTATGTCAATCGTGACCATACTCTGCTCAACTCTCTGGCGGTTTCCTGGCAGGCGCAAAATGAAGATAACTGAAAAATAAAATTCTCTGAAAATAAAATCGAAAGTGCGACGTCAATTTTGGAAAATGTGCCCACACAACTTGCACACACACACACGCACACACCACTCACACACACCATTCACACACTATACACATAAATATTCAAACATACTCATACTTACACATACGCACACACACACACACACACACACACACACACACACACACACACACATGCTATATATATTTTTCTTGTTTTTTCTTTGTTTTCAAAATATATTCCTATGCTAATCAATGCTATGCAGTTCTTTTGAAGTTAATCCAGAAACATTTGTATGTTTGTTTGTTGGTTTGTTTGTATGTATGTATGTTTGTTTGTTTGTTTGTTTGTTTGTATGTTTGTTTGTTTGTTTGTTTTGTATGTTTTGTATGTATGTATGTTTGTAGGTTTATGTATTTTATGCTTCTACTCTGGCGGAAATTTAATCGCATAAACAGAATAGAACCAAACAAAACTTTATTATTCAGCGAAATATAAATAAGGGTGTGTAATTTTTTTATGGGCTAAGATGTTTCAAGTGTGTTTATTTTTATACACTGTACATGTTGGTGTATTTGTGTGTGTGTATTGTGTGTGTGTTGGAGTGTGTATGTGTATCTGTATGTGTGTGTGTACGTGAGTGAACATGTGTTCAGGGAAAAAAAAAAATCTTAAATCATGTTTTAGCGTATTGCTACATGTATCTTGTACTTAAGTACCTTTTCAAAAATTAATCCTGAGATCAATCTTAATATATTTGAGTGCAATCCTATCCACTTACACTGTTTGAGCCCTATAAGTATGTTTGTATGTATGTATGTGTGTATGTATGCTTGTTTGTTTGTATGTATATGTGTGTAATGTATGAGTGCGTATGTATGCGTGTACTTGTGTGTATGTATGTTTGTATGCACGCCTGTATGTATGTTTGTTTGTTTGTATGTATGTTTGTTTGTATGTATGTGTATGTATGTACGTGTGTGTATGTATGTGTGTGTGTATGTATGTGTGTACTTGTGTGTACGTGTGTATGTTTATCTTTCATCAGGTCATGTTCTACCTTTTTATCGTTTCAATTTTTAATTGGAGATTATTTTTTAGGTCTTGTTTTTTCCCCTCTCTTGGTGACGTCATTAACGTCCTATAGGTTTTGACGTCATCCATTCATTCATTCATTCATCCGTTCATTCATTCATTCGTTCATTCTTTCATTCATTCATTTATTTATTCGTTTGTTTTTAGATTCCGTTCCCTGAGTGACTGATTTTTTAATTTGCATTTATATACGTATCCGTTGTATTATTCATCATCGATTCCTCCCTCTCTCTCTCCCCCTCCCCCCTCTCTCTCTCTTTGTTTAACTCTTTTTTTCTCTTTCTTTTTCTCTTCCTTTTTCTTTTTTTTTCTTTCTGCCTTGTTCTCTTTTTGCAGCATTCACTAATCAACTTAATCATTCGATTGTTTATTCACTATATCATTTCGTTATCATCTTCATGTTGTATATCTTCTACTCAATTACTCACTCGTGCATTAATTCATTCTTTCATTCATTAATTTATTAATTCATTTATTAATTCCTTCATTAATTCATACATTCATTTTTTCTTTCGATCATTCATCCAGGGTGGAATCATACGCGGACAGTAGCCTGGTCATCCGTGACGTCAGTAAGGACGACATAGGTTGGTACACCTGTAGGGTCGGCCCTCTAGCCCCCCACACCACCCCCCTCAAAAATAATGATGATGATGACGATGCTGGTGATGATGATGATAGCAATGATGATGATGGTGATGCTGGATCTTTCGTTGAGTCATCTGCCTATCTTAACGTGACATGTGAGTTGTTGGTGTTGGTAATGATGATGATATTGTTATTGTTGATGATGATCTTGTTGGTGATGATGATGGTGATGATAATAGGGATAGAAATGGTGATATTGATGGTGATGCTGTCATTTCTCGTAAACTTTTCAAAAAATTTAAAAATAGTTAGTATGCACGTATGTGTGATATATGTTTTTGTATGTTTGTTTATGTGTTTTCTGTGTATGTATGCATGTATGTATGCATGTATGTATGTAAGTATGTATGTGTGTGTGTGCGTGTGTATGCGTATACACACGTGTGTACATATGTGTGTATATGCGTGTGTATGTGTATATGCGTGCCTATATTTAATTGTTTCCCTTGAAAAAAACATTTGTCTGTGCCTTGGAGATTAGCCTTTCGCTAATTTTCCACCTTAATTTTCAAGTCAATTGAGTTTTAAATTTTTGTCATCAATTACACCCAGGCGAATGTTAAGAGATCACACATTGTATCTGAGAAAATCTACATACATACATACATACAAACAAACATACAAACATACATACATACATACATACGTACATACAAACAAACAAACAAACAAACATACACACAAACAAACACACAGCATCCAATTTTCTACATAAAATACTATGGCCATAAGTCAAAAAATAATGAAAACATTAACTATCGTGCCGTCAAAGTTTGAAAAATTGATAATGACGTCACGGAGACACCGTTAACTATGACGCTACGAAAAAAATGAGCAAAACTTTCGGCCGTACCATTATTATTATTATTATTATTATTATTATTATTATTATTATTATTATTATCATTATTATTATTGTTATTTTTATTATCATAATTTATACCATGGCGTTTGGTTCAAAAGGTTTATTAAAGTATGTGTATTCGTTCATCCATCAATCCATCATTCTTTAATATTTTGTCTTTTTTTGCTGGTATGTATGTGTGTATTTGTGTGTGTGTGTGCGTGTGTGCGCGCGTGTGTGTGAGTAGGTATGGAGAAATGGAGAAGAATTAATGATGAAGTAGAAGTAGAGCCATTTCATCATAGGTGATACAATTTTGTAGGTTTTGGTTTTTTTCCTCTTTCAAATGTCTGCAGTTGCATTAGGGGCTGAGTTTAAATGTTTACTCGTTCATTTCGTTTATTTATTTTCGCGTTCACCTTTTTTTTGTTTTAATCATTTTATAGTTGTATAGTTGTTCGTTCGTTTCTTAATTCATTCATTTATCCATTCATTCGTTCGTTCGTTCGTTCGTTTATTCGTTTATTCATTCATTCATTTGTTCGTTCGTTCGTTTATTCATTCATTCATTTTTTCGTTCCTTCGTTCATTCATTCATTTGTTCGTTTGTTCATTCATTCATTCTTTCATTCATTCATTCACTCATCATTAATCTAAACTATCGTTCACTCATTTATTCGTTCATTCAATAAATTAATCCATTTTTACATTCATTCATTGTCTATCTATTTATTCATTCATTCACTTATTAACTTACTTAATAAAATTACCATTCTTTCATTCATTCATTCATCTGAAAATCTTTCCATCCACTTTTTTCTTCTCCTGTCATTTAGCCAATGTCATCACATCAAATTAAACATGGCAGCTCTGATGTTTTCAGATAAATGGAAAAACCCGACGGCGCTATAAATAGTAATTTTTGGGATTTCCCAAGATCTAAAAATATCCCTTTTTTCCATTTTTTATAAATTCCATTTAATCATCCAGTTTCAAAAATTTTTCAATCCATTTGCAAGGTCCCAGACAAAAATTTTTCAAAATTCTTTTTCATATTTTTTCATTTTTCAAGGTTTTTTTACAATTTCAAAGTTTTTTAGATTTATTTCTGATTTCTTGTTTTATTTTTTGACACGAATGCGCAATTTATTGGGATTGCTTTTGATAAAATTGGAAAACAAAAGTACGGATGTTTGAAGTAGGTACGTATGTACGTGTTTATGTGTGTGTTTATGTGTGTGTATGTGTATGTATATCTCGGTGTGTGTGTTATTTTTATTCGTATGCATTATACGTGTGTGTCTGTATGTGTTTTTTCCAATCTGTGTATGTATTTACATTTTATGTATGTGTGCGTATGTGCGGTGTGTGTGTATATGTGTCTGTTTGCGTGTGTGTATGTGTGTATGCGTGCGTGCGTGTGTGTATGTGTGTGATGCTATACTGTTACATTCAACTGCACGAAACTCCGTTCTTCTTATTAAAATGCTGAAACACGAACAAATACAAATATGATCTTAGGTTGCATCGGCAAATTGCAAATGCACCAGAAACATGTATGTACGTGAGTGTGCGTGTGTGCGTGCGTGTGTGCGTGTGTGTGCGTGTGTGCGCGCGCGTGTGTGTGCGTGAGTGTGTGTGTGTGTGACAAAAGCACCATACAAAACTGACATTGGCGTACAATTGCACACAAAAAAAAACAAAAATTCTAATCAAGACATTTAAAGATCTGCCCTGCTCTCTCTTTCTCTTTTTGTCTCTCCAACTCTCTTCTTCTTTTCTTTCTCTCTCTCCTCTCTCTCTCTCTTTTTATTCCTTTATTTTCCAATCCTTCTTTTCTTCTTTCTATCGCTTTCATTCTCTGGTTTTCTTTTCTTATTATCCTTAATCACACGTCCATATAAAAAAACATATACATGACACATACATACAAAAAACAAACACATACAAAAACATACAAACATATACAAAAACATACAAATAAACATACATACAAACAAACACACAAACATACATACACAAGCACCGGTTTTATGTTTTTCCAGCTAAACTTACGTACAGCTTCCACATAATTAAATTTGGTTTTGAATTTTAATTCAATCTTATGTTCTTCAATCTTTTTCACCGAGTTTATTTTATAAAAACAAAACCAAACACACACACACACACACACACACACACACACATACAAACATACATCTATACATACAAACGCAAACACACACGTACATGCAAACACACAAACAAACAAACAAGCAAACATACACAAATGTTAAGTAATGATAGTGAAGGCAAAATATGAATAATAACGAGATAATTGTATTCTGTGAGCAATAGAGGCAAACTGTCTGTAATTTATCAGAGTTGACCCTAAAATACACATACATACATACATACATACATACATACATACATACATACATACATACATACATACATACATACATACATACATACATACATGCATGCATGCATACATACATACATACATACATACATACATACATACATACATACATACATACATACATACATACATACATACATATATACCTACATACATACAAATACATACATACATCAATAGCAGTACAATTCGTTGTTTTTTTTTGCTATGTGGATGTTTGTTGATTTTTTGATGTTTGTCTGTTCGTTTGTATGTATGTTTGTATATACGTGCAAATATACAAAAAGTCAGTAGAAACGTATTTAAAAAAATGCTAGCACTGGATACACTGGATACAAATACAGTGTCGCCAATGACATCAGGCATTTTGCTTACGCTGACTTCATACCTCAATTGGACTTGATTCAACGTATCGGCTTCAGATTCAGTCGCTAGGAAGGTGACTGCCAATCCTTTCATGCCGAACCTTCTTGCGCGAGCTACTCTGTGGTTTGTTGTCACTATTACCCGGTTTTCAAAGCATTGAACTGCTGGTATAGTGTGAGCTGATGATCTTGTTTCATCGACCAATGTATTGCCCTGCCCCTACTGAAATTTCTGCTGGTTCACATGCTCGCTGATGGATATGCATCTCTGTACTAACCTGTCGAAAATGACTTGGTTACATTCCAGTTTTTCTATCAATTCAATCAATTTTATATCCAATCATTTATTTATTTGTTATTTTTTTTATTCATTCATTCATCCATCTTTTCAATTTTTTCTCATTCGCACGCTCATTCCATTCATCCATTCAAGAACGAATGAATTGACAGTCGCATCTTCCCCCTTTCATAAACTCTATTTAATTTAGGAATAATTCGTATAAATGCACAAAAAACATGCATACACACAAATAAACAAACACACACATAAACACACACACACACACACATGCACATACACACACACATTCATACCTAGGCCGTGTGCTTGGACATACTTATTTGTATCATCAATCACATCTGGCTTCCTTGAATATCCTTTCTTTCAAAAACATATAATTAAATTAAAAGAGATATAAAAAGATATACACACACACACACACGTACACACACACGTACGCACACACACACACACACACATAAAAACACACATACACACATACAACTGATTCTTTAGGCAGCCATTTGTTAACCATTCAAATCGTATTACCGTATGTTAGACGCGCTCAACTCGCCGAAACATTATTTTACAGTTTTTTCAATTTCATATTACTACTACTACTACTACCTCCACTGCTACTACTACTACTACCTCCACTACTACTACTACTACTACTACTACTACTACTACTACTACTACTACTACTACTTTTACTATTATTGTTATTACTACTACTACTACTTCGAAACTGTTACTACAGCTACTGCTTGCTGTTAATAATTACGATAATAATTATTGCTATTATAAAAATATAATTTGGGATATATCAGCGTAGCTATTTCATTTCCTCAATAATTTCACGTCTATTAGTTTTCATCTCTAAACTCCATAACAGTAAAAAAAAATTTAAAAACCAGTAAATTGGGACAATAAACTTGCTTGGTAGAGGAATAGCCATTGAGGGAACTTCGTCATCAACTACAACCTTCCACAAGACTAAGACACCTATCTTCATAGATTAGCTCGCGCAGAAAGGTTCAATGCGAAAGGATTGCCAGTTACCTTCACAACTTAGTATATTTCCACTGAAACATCCGAAAGCTAGCATCTTTTTAAATACGTTTCTACGGACTTCCTGTATATTTGCACATATATATTATGTACATATGTGCATATAGTTTTTTTATGTATGTGTGTGTATAAAGTCTTTGTATGTATGTGTCTGTTCATAGTCTTTGTATGTATGTGTGTATATATAGTTTTTGTATGTATGTGTGTGTATACAGTTTTTGTATGTATGTGTCTGTATACAGTCTTTGTATGTATGTGTCTGTATATTGTTTCTTTAAAGACGTGTATACAGCCTCTACAAATGTGTGTTGATAATCCATGTGTATACAAATGTACATATATGAGCGAACATTTTTAAAATATTTTCATCTATGAATAATTTTAATTATCTTATAAACAAGCAAACAAACAAACGAACAAACAAACGAGCGAACAAACAAACGAACAAACGAACGAACAAACAAACGAACGCAGACAAACAAATCGTACTCCAGGCTGATCCGCATACTAAGATTACGTTCGCTGTAAAAAGGTGTTGCAGGGAAAAATTTTTTGTGTTTCTCAGTATTTTTCGTTTTGCATTTTTCGTTTTGTTTTGTTTGTGTAATGAATTAATTCTGTTGGACATTCAACTGCAACATCATCATCTTCAAAACTGCTGTTTTCATCTTAGTGAATGATCTTTGAGCGTTTTTGCTTGCTGGAATGTTTAATGGAATGATTAATTATCAATAATTGAAATTAAACCGAAACGACAAACATTTATCTAACTTAAATATTTAACAACAGCTAGTAGCAGTAATAGAAGTAGCAGCACCATTAGAAGTAGCAAAGGTAGCTGCAGTAGCCACATTAACAGCAGCATATTATACATAGAAATAACTCACCATTAGCCAGCAAGCCATGAAAACAACAAAGTCCCTATGAAATAATAATGCGATAGGGAGATGAAATATTGTGGAACACATGTGGGCATATTTGTGTCGGTTGGTTTGTCGGTAGGTGGATTGGTTGGTTGGCTAGTTGGTTGATTGGTTGGTTGGTTGGCTAGTTAGTTGATTGGCTGGTTGGTTGGTCGGTTAGTTGATTGGTTGATTGGTTGGTTGGTTTGTGGGTAGGTTGGTTAGTTGGTTGGCTGGTTGGTTGGTTTGACTTTTTTGTATGTATGACGGTTCAAATGTAAGTAGGAGGTTCTTTCCATCAGCAAATCACGCATGTTTACAGTCACATGTTTGCTCTCCCACTCAGTTTCTATTTTTGGAAGAAATTAGAAACTGCAATAGTATTAATACTTTTTCTTGTGGTAGTGGAAGTAGCGTTCATATCATCAGCAGCAGTAATATATTTAGCAGCAGCAGTAGTTGAAGTAGTAGTATAGTAGTAGTAATAGCAGTAACAGTAGTAGTAGCAGTAGTAGTAGTAGCAGCGTCAACAACCACAACAGCAGCAGTAGTAATGACATTAATTCAAAAAGTTCGTTAAGCTATATAAGCATTGATTATGTGACCGGATTGATTGCCCAACATCGTGTCGAGAATGAATAAAGTCTTCCGCCACCAACTGAGATGCTGATGGAAAAAAGTGAGGGGAGAGATGCTGATGATGAAAGTGAGCGGAAAGATGCTGATGACAAAAAGTGAGGGGTGTTAATGATGAGGAGGTGAGAATTGATATACACCACTAAGGATAAAACGCTATAAGTGAAGTGATGATTAAAACTACTACTACTACTTCTACTGCTTCGGCTACTGTTACTACTACTAAGCTGTTGCTGCTGCTGCTACTACTACTACTGCTGCTGCTGCTTCTACACTACTACTACCACTACTGCTGCTGTTGCGACTACTACTACTTCTACTATTATTACCAGTGTTTGCGAAACAATGATAAAAAGCGACGGTCAGTGAGATGATGATGAGATGTAGGAGTTTGTGAGATGATGAAGGTAAAAAGTGAGTGTGAGAATAAAATGACTGACGTGACAAGAAATTTCAAATGAATGTAATGTTAAAAAAAGTTGTTTAAAGAGTAAAAAGTTGATTTAAATCAGACATGGGAAAAAATTATTGCGATAATAATAATAATAATAATTATTATTATTTTTATTGTTTTTATTTATTTCTATTCATTTCTAGACATTTTTAACTTGACAATAGCTGTTAGAAAAAACCCGAAGCAGAACATAGATAAATAAATTTAAAAATTCTGTTGTCCAAAAAAAAAAAAGAATCAAAATAAAAAAAAATTGGAAATTAACAAGCGACGCGTTTTGGGAGAAAAAAATTTACACGTGGGTTAATTAGGTGAGAATAGATAAAAATAAAATAATAATAATAATAAAAAGAAGAAGAAGAAGAAAAAGAAGAGGAGGAAGAAGAAGAAGAAGAAGAAGAAGAGAAAGAAGAAGAAGAGAAAGAAGAAGGAGATATAAAACAAAGAAAAATCATATCATAAGAATCTTAACGACGGTAAC